ACTAGAGCTCAAAACAGTTTACATATAGGCCTAAAATAATATGCAAGAAAATGGCATACAAAGGAGGTAATGAAGCAAGTGCAAAAAGGAAGCCTCAAACAGTGAGAGGCCCTTAAACAAACATGAAAAGACACATGGAAAAGTGCAACTATAGCAGGCTCGGCTATTCTAGACATGGCATATGAAATGCTACAGCTAACATGTATTCAACTTGGAATTGAAAATACAATGCAGTTAGTATGATGCGCCGAGCCCGGTGCATGCAAAACAGATGAATGGATGCAAACATGCTATCATACTGTATGCTAATTGAAACATGCCCTAATCTAACCATCATAAGCGGGTAAATAAAAGGGAGAAAGACGTGGGGTTGGAAGACATACATCACACACACTCACGCTTATTACAATATTGCCCTCGCGCAGAGGGTCCGAATAAATAATATACAGTCCCAAATGAATAATACAGTCTGAATAAGTACAAAACCCTAATTAATTTACAAATTTAACTAGGAAAGTAATAAATTGGCATGCAAGCCAGGGACTGCCTCAACTCTGATCCGGATGATGAATGATGCATGTTCGGGTTACCTTGCGCGGAAATCCATTGCGATGCCCCAATTAGCCCCTGTTTGCAATTGTTCTTGGGATGCGTGCCAAGCTCCGGAAGGCTGCTGGCTCTTGATTTGCTATAACAGAGAGCAAGAAAGGGGCATGGCAAAGTATTTTCACATATGTATGCATGACTACCCTTCAGGGAGTGTAGACCTCAATCCTCGTGCCACCAATCACGCATATCGATGCATGATGGCCGAGGAGTCGAATTGCACGACTCAATATGAAATGAATGCACATATAAACACAACAAAACCTAAACTCCATCATGGATAATCCGAAGTGTCGGTGACTGGGAATTGAGACACGTTCCGTCACTCGAAGTACGAAACGTCCCTCGTTTCCCGTGCTCGGGCTAACCCCTATTCCAAGCACAATGCAATATGCATGACATGCATGAATGCAACTAAGATACAGCCTAACATGCGCAATGCTATGCAATGGCATACACGATGCACGAGGTAACATGGCATACACAATGCTCTAACATACAGCCTAGCATACGCAATGCTATGAAATGAAATGGCATACACAATGCACAATGGACTTACACCAACATGAGTGGACCTCAGCCACACTCACATAGGAGGCCATGAGATGAAAATGAGACACTCGAAATGCGTGCACACATGCACGCAAACCGAGGACCGATCCTAAGGCACAAATGCCACTCTAACAAGACATGGCAAGGCATGGAATATGGCATACTAGAATGCAAATTTCAGTAGCAAAATATGATGCAAAACAGTCCCAGAACATGGAAACATGGCACCCAATACATGGAATGAGACCCGAAACATGAAATTAGGTACATGAAATGACCTATGGCTATGCAAAGCATGCATTATTTGAACATAAAGTGTGAATATAGAATCAAGAAAGTCCCAAAACAAACATATTTACAGTTTTAAGCAAGGCCAAACAATGGACACAAATAGGACTAAGCTAGCTTGCAAAAATGGCCCCGTAAGAGAGGTAATGAAGCAAGTAGCAGCTTCTGGCCCTAAATGGCCAAGGGCCCTTCAACAAAGTTGAAGAGGGGCTAAAAATGAAGCACTTTACAGTTTACAACAAGCCACGGATCTAAACAAAAATAGGCCTAAAACATTGTGCAAGAAATGGGCCAAAAGGGAGACAAAGAAGCAAGTGATGGTTGCTGGCCTCAAACAGAGGAGGTCCCTTCAACAAAGTTGAAGAGGGGCCCAAAATATGGTATTTTAAAGTTAGTGACCAAACCCAAAACAGTGCACATGCAAGCTTAAAATACTATGCAAAATAAGGCCTAAAAAGAGGTTTAAACACAAAGAGTAAAAAGGGAGCTTCAAAAAGCAAAAGTCCCTTTATAAAACATGAAGAGGGGGTCAAAATAAGGCTATTTACAGTTCGGACCAGAGCCTAAAAATACAAGCACAAGGGGCTAACAAAACATGCAAAAATAAGGCCAAAAGAGGGATAAAGAGGTAAGTGACAAAAGGAAGCCTCAAACAGTGAAGATCCCTTGAAAAATGTAGAATAAGGGCTCAAAATAAGCCAATTTACAGTTTATAACCAAGCTCAAAACAATTTAAAAATAGGCCTAAAATACTATGCAAGAAAGAGTCATACAAGAGAGGTAAAGAAGCAAGTGGTAGCTAGAGACCTTAAACATAGAAGGACCCTAAAACAAACATGAAAAAGACTTTAAAATAATGCTATTTTTAGTTAGGGTCGGAGCCCAAAAATGGAAGCAAGTATGGCTTAGAGAGCATGCAAAAGAAGCTCAAAAAGAGGAAAAGTATGGCTCACCCTTGTAGACCAAACTTCAACAGCCTCTTGGCTTGAGAAAAGGTGCTCCTTGCCCCTGGAAAACAGTTCCAAGTGGCTAGAATGGATGGTGGTGGTATGGTGCTAGGTGGTGGTGTAGAAATGGTGTAGGGTTTTGGAGATTTTAAGGGTTGGAGTGTAGAGAGAGAGAGATACAATGTGGGAGTTTCAAAGTAAATTTTGTAACCTCTCAAACACAGTTGGGGGGCCTAGATATATAGGCAAGAGTGTGGAAAAAAAGGGGGGAAAATGGATTTCAAATTTCCCCCCAAAAGTGCAGCCCCCCGGATACACAATCTGGAGGGAAACAGAATACATATTTGTAATGTACCAGAGGAGGGGAGCAAGGCCGGCCTGGTATCTAAGTTGCAGGTGGCTGGCCGGCCCTCCCCATGGCCGGCCGGCCAAGGGTCAAAAGGCTCAAGAAGTATTAGTGGCCGGCCACCCCAGATTGGTGGCCTCCCATGTGTGCACAACACAACCATGTGGTCAAAAACTGGAGAAAGTAAACCAGGAGAGAGAAAAGCCCACTTTTAGGAGGGGTTTAAAAGGGTCACACACAATTACTGGCCAGCCATATGATATTGGTGGCCTCCCTGGTGTGTACAACACAAATATGTGGTTTGGGACAAGAAAAAGTGGCCTTAGGGTGGTCAACATTGGCTTTCAAGTGAGAAAAACGGTCGACGAAGGGCGATGGAGGAATAAAACTGGTTGTCAAAACAATTACTGGCCTCCCACCCTTCTACGACCTTCTCAGCAGTGAAAATAAGGTCTCCACCAAAAATGAGCCCAAACTGATGCAAAATGAAGGTTCGGGGGCCGAAACGCGCAGCCCGAGGCCCCGAAAACTGACTGTTAGGCACCGGGAGTGGTGTTCGACCACGAAGTGGGTTTCTCTGACCCCAGTGTCCCTCAAAAGGGAGCAAATAGGAAGTATGCCAAAAATCAGAGCAAATGGAGACGGTTAAGCGATCCCGAACCGAGGCACACGGCCAACGGTTCCGAAAACCGGGAACCGGGCTCCGAAATGGGAAAAATGGCCTATAGCCACAAAATGTAGCCCACGGCCACTGAGAGATGGTCTACAGAACCTCTCCCTCCCCTCAGGAAAAGAAACAGAGAAAATCGAGTTTGAGCAATAATCAAGTTAGATTGGGGATTACATATGAAAAAATAGATTGTGGAAAAGTTATTGGAATTGTTTATACTCAAGTACAAGAGCTAAAGTTCAAAAATTTACTCGAAACTCCTTTGCTAAAGGATTTATCATTGTCACGAGACAAGATTCCATTCCATGACTGTGAATAACAGCACCAGCATTACGCATATCGTATGCCTGCAAAACAAAGCAAAGGTGTTATTTTACTTGGCAAAAGAAGATTTCACTGCATAAAAACATACAATGTTTTCTGGACACTAGCAAATGAACACAGGAAAGAGCAATCATGACATTTTGAAGTTTCTTCACTGCAACAGAACAGTTTTGGTAAGAAGGAAACAACAAGAATTGGCAACATGAATTAAAAGCATAACATAAAGGGATCATAGAAGCAATAGTTTGATACAAACCCCTTGGGTAGAACTCACCCTTGAAAAAATATAAATGTAAATAATAGTTAATTATAAATAGTACATTTATATAATAGTGGTAGTATATATTATTTTGGTAAAATATTGACTTTTTTAGTATGTTTATATATATTGTATATATAATTGTATAATCAAAGTTTTAATTGTAACTTTAGTCTCATACGCAAGTATGAATTTATAAATTTTTTGGTTCATTAAGGCTCGTGAACAGGCTCGAGCTCAAGCTCGAGTCCAGCCTAAGCCAACTCGGCTTGAGCTCGGTACGTTAAGTTTTTATTAAACTCATGCTCAAACTCGTTAAAATCTTAATAAACAAGCCCAAACATACTAAAGCTTGGCTCAGCTCAGCTCGGCTCATTTTGCAGCCCTTGCCGATATGGGATCGTAGCATACCACAACACTCCACAGTCAACGTCCACGGCAGCCCACTCTATCAATACTAACCTAGTGGTAGCCTTTTCCCTTCTGGTAGCTTCACTCAACTATCAGCATTCGACACCTTTTTAGGTGTCTTAATCCAGCCTATAGGTCGCCCCCTCCACGGTTTGAACCGCAAAGCCGCACCCATTCGATCCCACACTCACATAGGTGCGTCCGATCCCATACTTGACATGGTGGCTGGCCCTGATACCAAATGATGCGTACCCCTTGGGCAGAACTCACCCTTGAAAATTGTCTTGCAAAGGGAGGGTGCCCAAGAGGCTTATATGCATATGGCCAAGGCCTATGTTAAACAATTCTAAAAAATGATTCTTATTATCAATTGTTTGCACTTCAATTTTCAATATGTAGAATTGTTTAATATTTCGCAATAAACTACCAAAGCAATAAAATTCTTAAAAATTATGTAAACAAACCAACACTTGAAAAGAAGCTGATATAATTGTCAGATACATGCACATTTACACAATCGTTTGTTATTGTTCATAGTTTCTAGTCTGCACATATATCAAAAATTCAACAAAGCTAAGTAAGCAAAGCGAGCTTTTTAAAGAAGCTGATAGTATTCTGAGATACAAAGTTACAAACCCATGCAATCACATGTCATTCTTGTTCAGATCTAAGTCCATCAATCAAATTGAAACCCATGCAGATATCTTTTTCTTTTCTTTTCTTTTTCTTTACTCAACATCATGCAAAATCCGCATTTCAACTCAAAAAGTAATGCATTTGCTAAGTTAAATGAATAAACAGAACATACAGCTTCAGCAAGAGAATTTGTTAGCTCCCACTCATGAGCGGTGTTTTCTATTATTGGGACAACAAGCTCATCATAATAACCATGCCCTTGAATTCCTTTTATCATTTCCATATGAGTAATCTGTAATCAATCAAAAAATGCACAATAATGAGATGGAAGACCCAATCAAGACCAAACAAAAGTCAATTTTCAACAAGTTGATGGAACCATCTGTTAATGCTGGCTGTTGTCAAAATAGCCTCGATTATTATTTGGTAATGAGATAATTCCCCAACCACAGTTATCAGAATAACTCTCTTGCAATGAAAGAAGATGCCCATTTCTAAAACCCAAAAATTAATATATCTTACAGGGAGAAATTTCTTTTCCATTTTCCATAAAACTCTTGTAGATGCTCTAAATTTTGGGGGAGAAATGTTCCCAGGAGTGGTACAAATTGAATTTTTTTCTTTTTTTAGTGGCACATAAATCCCATCTTAGGTGCAGGAATCCCCTACAGGGGTTGACATTTCTACTCTAGAACCTGGATTCCTTGATTAAGAGCAATAATCAAGTTAGATTGGGGATTACATATGAAAAAATAGATTGTGGAAAAGTTATCGGAATTGTTTATACTCAAGTACAAGAGCTAAAGTTCAAAAATTTACTCGAAACTCCTTTGCTAAAGGATTTATCATTGTCACGAGACAAGATTCCATTCCATGACTGTGAATAACAGCACCAGCATTATGCATATCGTATGCCTGCAAAACAAAGCAAAGGTGTTATTTTACTTGGCAAAAAAAAATCATAAAAAGGAAACAAAAAACATAAATGAACCTAGATTTATTGAATGGCTACACCCCCTGAAACATCAAAACTCTGTTTCCCACACCTTGGGCATTGAGGGCTTGGCAGACACCGGCCTAGTCGACGGAACCTCATTCATCTCCCACAGCATCGCCGCCAAGTTCCTCGCAGACACCGGCCTCGACCTCCCACCACCGCTCTGCGACGGCGCGTACTTGGGAGAATCCAAAGCCGCCGCCGTCGTCCTCCAAGATGGAACCAGAGTGCTCGATATGGATCCCCAAGGCTTACCCACCAAAATGGCCCGCTTGAATCGGTAATTCTGCAACACAGAGGACGAAGACGAAGACGAACAGCAACCCCTCTTTCGGATCTTGCAGGATTCGAAAATCAAACCCTCCACAACCCGATTCTACCTTGGCATTATCAATTTCAATTTATCACACACACTCTCTCTCTCTTTCTGATCTACGAAGAAGAATGGATTTGCATTTGAAAATTCAAACCCTAGAAATTTATGATATGGGTTTTGAAAGTGTATGTATATGCTTTTTCATAGCTGGAGCTGGTGGATGGAGTGGGTTGGGGTAATCAGTAATAGGAGAGCGATGCAAACAAAAGGAAATGAGAGAGAGAGAGAGAGCATGTGAAGGTGAATGCGTGGAACAAAACGACGTCGTTTTAAAAATGGCGACCAATTTTGTTTGTCGCAAAAAAAATTCAATTCCCGCCTCTATAAAAATCAAATTTGCCTCCCAAACTTTTGGCAACCAAAAGATCATATTAGTCTCAGAAAAGGTACCTTCGCCGACTAATTTTTTTAGTCGCCAAATCTCAATCAACGGCGACTAAAATATTAGTTGCTAAAAGTACAAATTTTGCGACTAATTTTTTTTGGTTGTTAAAAATAAGTTTTTGGCGACCAAATTTTTGGTCGCCAAAAAATATGTGACCTTCCGCAACCAAATTTGTAGTTGGTCGGCAAAAGCATACCACTTTCTGCGACCAACTCATTTTTTGGTCGCCAAAATATAACCTTCTGCCACCAATAATATTTGGTCGCCAAAAATAAAGATCATTCACGACTAATTAATATTTGGTGGCCAAATGTCATTTTTTTACGACCAAAATTTTTTTGGTCGGCAAAAGCAGTCGCAAAATGTGTAAATTCTTGTAGTGCACTCTCCCTCTTTCTCACGATTTAGGCAAGGAATAAGGTTGAGGAGAGATGCTTCTAAGTGTAATGAGGTGTAATATAGTTGATCTCAAATTAAGCCACTAAGTGGCAAACTTGTAATAACTTAAACAAGTGTAAATTAACATTATTTAATCTAATTTAATCATACCAAATCAAATTTTAATTAAATCCACCATAAAATCACCTATATTCCAACTAGTATGAAACACTAATCAATTTCGAAATCGGGCGCCGATAAAGCTTTCAATTCGCAGTTCAAAGTCTAAACATGAACAGATCATTCTATGGCAAACAGATAGAAACGCAAAGATAATGCAACACATATGCAAATTAATTCCGGATTCCTTCTAAATTACTGTTAGGCATAACTAATCATGGATTAGCATTAATCCGAGGTCGGGGTTATTACAGATAGTTTCCATGAGTTTAGTAGAGTTCAAAAAACGGTGCTTCCGGCGTGGCCAAAAAAAACCCAGTATGATTGTTCCCTATTCAATGATTCAAGTTTCATATTCTTTCATCAAACATTCAAGTACAATGAAATATGTTTTGCCAAAAAAACAAATAAAGCTTTGTAAAGACCGTTTAGCTTAGGTGTCATTTGGTAACACTAACGTTTTCAATTTTTAGTTTATATTTACAAAAATTTTAAAAACTCAAATAAAAACTTGTTTGGTAAATATTTGATTTATAAATCATTGGTCTCAGTTTATAAATTTGGCCAAAAAATGTAAACTTAAAAAATGTGTTTTCATTTTGAGTTTTCGATTTTTTTTTTTTTTACCACCCAACACTAGCCACCACCCATCATCATTTTCCACCACCGTCTTCCGCCACCACCCCCACCACCACTCACCACCCACTTGCCACCACCACCATCCACCACTCGCCACCACCACGCACCCACCACCACCCACCTGCCACAGCACTTTCCGCCAACCCACCCACTCCCACACCCACTCGCCGCCGCCTGCACCACCAACTATCCACCTGCCACTCACACCGCCACCAAGCCAGCCACTACCATCAATTCGCTCGCCACCACCACTCACCAACCCACCTGCCACCACCATTTCCACATACCACCCACCACACACCACCCTTACACCACCACTAACCACCACCCCGCCACTACCATCCATCCACCGTCCGCCACCTACCCACACCACACCCACATGCTACCAACATCCACCACCGTCACCAGCGACCTGCCACCCACCCGCCACCTCACAACCAACCATCACCACCACCACCGACCACCCACCCGCCTACCACCGCCACCACCGCCATCCAACACCACACCTGCTACCACATCACCAACATCACCAACTTTCACCACCTATTCCGCGCCCCACAGCCGCCGACTTACTACCACTTTCACGCACCATCTTCTGCCACCATCACCCACAACCGTCACCATTTTCCACCACCGCTTCGGCCGCCACAATCGTCATCACCACCACCGCAACCACTTGTCATTCTTCTCTCTTTTTTATAATTTTAAATTTTTTTAAAACATTTTATCTAAAACCAAACGCATTAATAGTTTAATGTTTTTCTAAAAATAAACAAAAAATAAATAAAAATTAATTTATAAATTTTTTATAAATATAAATTGAAAACGTAAACGTTACTCAACATGCCCTTTATTAATTAGATTTGAGATTAATTAAGTGGCGGGGTGCCAGAAAATTAGATGCATACTTGTAAACCATCTCCAACGGTGAACCAAACCCAGCATCAAATTCAAATTTTGATGAAAAAACTTACTTTTTCAAGCTCCAACCGTTGCACCAGATTGATATCAAAATGAGATTTCAAGCAAAAAAAGTATTCAAACTGAGAACGAGACACCAGATTTTACCAAATCACTGTTACTTGACCGTTGAAAGAAGTACACCGGTCAAGCCAGCCGTTGCCCGCGTTGACCAACCAGTCAACCAGTAAAAGATTCAAACAGTTCAGGAAAAAAAGTTCAAACCGTTAAAAAAAAAAAAAAAAAAATTTGCCTAACCGGTCAACCGCCGGTCGACCACCCCGGTTGTCCCGAAAAAGTTCAAAAAGTTCAAAAAAAAGTTCAGACAATTCGACAAAAAAAAAAAAAAAAAAACAAAATTTTTTTGCCTAACCGGTCAACCGGCCGGTCGACCACCCGGTTGTCCCGGGATAGATTTGGTGCAAGGTGAACCGTTGGAGTGAGTGGTATCAAATTTAGTGAAATGGGTCATTTTTTACTCAAATTTGATAAAAAATTTGAGTCACCGTTGGAGATGCTCTAAGTGTTGTCCATTTTATGAAATTTAATTCCAATGATTAAGGGTATTACCAACAAAATCACAGACGTGCAATCAAATAAAAACAATACAAAAAAGGTACACAAAAAGCACCGCATTAGACGGTAAATCCCCACCAGTTTATTTAAATTTTACCTTAAAATATTATTAAAAAAATTATTTTTTATTTTAAAAATTACTTTTTTATTTACTTTCAATTTTTTATTTTTTCTCTATTCTATTAACAAATTTCTTATGTTTTTCTTTATTTTATTAAAATATAATTTTTAATTATAAATTTTAAAAAAATAAAAATCATAAATATATATTACAGTCTTTAAACAAAGCAAAATAAAAATAAAATAAAATAAATATAAGGGAGTTACAATGACTCCTTAAAAATAAAGAATCACTATAACAAATACTAATTTAAAAGAATTGATACATGGACTTTTCTTAAGCGTACCTTGCATATGGTATGCAAGGCACTTACGACCTTGCATTTACACCTTGCATGCCTTGTATTTACGATATTTTTTTACATTTATACCTTGTATATGGTGTGCAACCTTAAGGAATTGTACACCTAAACATTACCCTTGATACATATATATAGAGAGCCACTTACCCCTTAAAATAGATAAGGAAAAGATTTAAGGCATCTGTTGGGATGCTCTAAAAAGAGACCAAAAAAGCGAAAGTAGACCCACACAACGCGTCACCATGTAACCGCCACGTGTACAATCTTATCCAGTTCCCCTTCTCTCTACCCCCACCTCCCTCCTTTTAAACCCCCAAATCTACTAACTCCGCTCAGTGCTCCAACCCACGTCTCTCTCTCTCTTTCTCTCTCTATGTATCTATATCCCTGTACATACACACAAAGAAATGGCTGCAAGTCTCGTAGCTTTCCGACTTACCAAACTCGTCCGATCGGTGATTTGATTTCCGACTCGCCGGCGATCCTCTCTCTCTCTCTCTCCCTTTTTTTGGTCTTCCGTTTGAATTTTTGTATGATGTAAGGGTTGCGTAGAATATACGGTAAAAATCATGTATTTATAGATGTATATACACTATCTTCTAGGTCGTTCGAGATGTGCTAAATTTTTAATTTTTTTTAAAAAAATATAAAATATAAAATGGAATTGAAGTTATGTAGTGAGGAAATAACGCGATATAAATAAAGAAGTAATGTGACTTGAAAGTATATGGGATGTGTTATTTTATTTATCACATGTTGAACAATACCTTTAGGCACCGTTTGGGAAGGGAAGAAAAAAGTCAGATTTTTTTGGTTAAAATAGCCACAAAAATAAAATAGGCTATTTTAGTCATAAAAAACAAAACATCAAATCCAACCCATAATCATTACAATCCTCTCTCAAAAAAAAAGTTAAAAAAGTTAAAAAGCCAAAAAGTCCTTCTCAAACCAGGCTAAAATAACTAAAAAACCAAAAAGTCAAAAAGCCAACTCATTTCTCAAACAGA